AATTTCTTGTTGCTATACCCAAGTAGTACTTTTTTTTCTTTGTTGTTTTACCAGATAGCTATTAGCTGCCTTCCAACTTGAGATGAAAGCATTCTATCAAATAGATGATGTCATTTATGAATGTTTTTGTAACTTATTTTTTTCCAACATGAATTAGACTCATTCTAAGTTGTTTCAGAAGTACCTCCCTTCCATCCTTTTTCCCTTTACAATTGTGAGGTTTTTTGGGATTGTAATATTTTCCCCCTGAATGTCCTAGAGAGAAAGAGAGAGAGAGAGAGAGAGAGAGAGAGGGAGAGGAGGAAGAAGAAGAAGAAAGAGGAGAGGAGAAGAAAGAGACCTTGGAAATGGCAGGCGGAATACCCAGTTTTGCATTATCCTGAGCTGTAGGAAAGCCTTTTTTTATTTTTCCTGGATCACACCAAGTAGAAATGGTCCTCTGGGCTTACTTTGTAAGGAAAGATAGGTAAGGTGAGGAACTTCTGTGACCATCTGGCTAATCAGTTGAGTTGTCATTTGATCTGTTAAACTTGTTAATTAAATGGCATTACCAAGGCAGAAGGGAGTAATTCATTTGAAGTTGACTTTTTTCCTGTTTGCAAGTTGTGGGCAAATGGCATAGAATTAGAATTTCAGAGCTGTGAGATCTGGAAGGAGCCAGAGAGCTCCTGTAGTCAGGATTCCATGAGGAAAATGAAGTCTAGACAAATGTGAAGTGACTGGCTCAAAGTCAGTCAATCAACAAACACTTCTTTAGAAATTCCTCAGTTAACAAATTCCCAATCTGAGAGAGGAACCAATGTTCTTTCTGGTACACATGGGAATAAGGTATCAGGCTTTCACACCTCTGTTTGAGGAAGATAGAGATTGTTTATAATAAATGATTATTGAAATGAATTAGAATAAAGTAGGCCACTTTCTGAGTATTCTACCTAGAAACGAAGACAGTTTAAATTAAGGAGTAGTCTTTTTAAAAGTTTAAATGAAGGTGGTCTTAAATCAAAGCTGAACTTTGAAAACATGAAGTTCTTCGAAGACCAGATGGAAAATAAGAGAAACAGAATTATAGCAAAGAGAGAGAAGGAGGAAGATGAAAGATAACTGTTTCAAAACTTGACCTGTTGATGGAACAGAACATTTGGTTCCTAATTCAAGAAAGCATGCGACTGTACTTTAAATTCCATTTCTAGCTCTTTTCCCTGATTTAAAAAAAATACTGTATACACAAAATATAAACTTCAGCTTTTTTGATATTTACCTTTTTGCATTATTCAGAATGTTACTTCACAATTATCTCATAATCTAGCAAAGTACTTTTTAGTAATGGATCGTGCATTACAATGAGTTAGAATAAATATTCACAAATATAAAAGTTACCTTTACTTTGTGTTTGATTGAAAAGCATTTAAAAATACCAAAGTACAAATTTTTTTAAAAAATGATGTTTATTAATATATTTTGTTTTAATATTATCTTTATTTCTGAATATACTTCTCTACTTTCCTACCCAAAAAGCTAGCCCCTGTAACAGATAAAAAAGGGGAAAAAACAGTTCAGCAAATCTAACCAACACATTATCTGAACCTGACAGTAAATGCACCTTTCCACTTGCAAAGAAGGGAGGGAGATACATTTTCTTATCTTTTATTTTCTTCAGGGAAAGGTTTTGCCATGATTAAATAGCATTCAATTTCATTATTTTTGCTCTTTCCCATTTCTGTTATTGTAACTATTATACTTGTTGTTTTCCTGATTCTGCTTTGAATCAGTAAATTTAAATCTGAACAGGCTTCTCTAAACTCAATGCTCATCGTGTCTTACTGTGTAGTAGTATTCCATTATATTCATTACTATAATTTGTTATCTGTTTCCACGTTGATAAACATCTGCCTTTTTTCTATTTCTTTGCTCCTACAAAAAGCAGAAACATATAAATTAATGCACTTTCATTGTAGAAACAACTGTCATTCTAACAGTGTCTAAAAGTGACACCCAGATTTATTTATTTGGTTTTATCTTCTAAAGTTTTCTTGGCCCCAATGATTTGATTACATTACTGTCATTTCCCTTTCACTCCTTGCCCTCATTCTTTGTGCATCTGTTTCTTTGCTGTAGTGCTGTGCAGCAATAGTTTAAGTAAATAACTTTTAAAAATTGACCAGCCTACCTGGGGACAACTAGGTGGTTACTGTGGATAGAGTGACAGACCTGGAGTCAGGGAAGACCTGAATTCAAATGTGGCCTTACACACTTACTGGCTCTGTGACACTGAACAAATCATTTAACCTCTGTTTGCCTAAGTTTCCTTTTATCTGCAAAATGGGGATAATAATAACACCTACCTTAAAGAGTTGATATGAGTATTAAATGAGATAATTGTGAAATGCTTAGCCCAGTGGCTGGTATATGGTAAGCACTATGTAAATGTTAGTTATTACATTTCAGTGTAAATTATTTCCCACCTGCTAGAAATTGGCTATTTGCAAGACGAATTAAAACACAAAACTAAATTGAATAGTGACTTGAGTCACTTGGAATTCTGTTTGAGGAAGAGCATTTCCCTTTGCTGATGGGCTTTTGAAACTCGCTATTCAAAATCCTAATTAATCGCCTAGCCTTTAAAGGAAATATGAGTTACTTTATTTCTTGTGTTCTGTTTTTCTGTTATCTCTCTGACATTACACCAATAAACTTTGACTCGAAGATTTTAAAATATACTGACTGGGGCATTTCTGTTAACAGATTTTGGGTTAGAATGTAGAATGGGGCTTTGGTATTCAGTAAAATATTATGTTTTGTTATCTAACACAGTGGTCTCCGAAGGGATGCTGTGGCTTGATGCTCAGAAGAATTGGGAAGAAGAATTGCATCCTCTGCCCCAATAGCTAATCCTGGGCTTGTCTTTGATATAACTGTACCTCTTCCTTATTCCATTCCTGTGCAATAACCATTTAATAACCAGCTCTCTCTCCTGCCCTCACGCATTTCCTTTGTATTTTTTTTTAATGGAAAAAAGTGAGCTATATAGGATAAGCAGGGATGGATGAGTTGGGAGTTACATTATCTTCTTCCCCCCAAACCCAATCTTCTTATGAATTTCCCTATTTCCAGTAACGGTACCACCATCTTTTCAGTATCCTAAGTTCATAACTTCTTCCTTATTGACACTTCAATCAACAAAAACTGCTTGCTACAAAGTTATCTTTGAATTCTTAGTTGTCAAATCTGACAGTCTCTTCTCAGTTCATTTTTTCTCAATTTCTTTTGACATTGTTGATCATCCCTTTCCTCCTGGATACTTACTCTGCCCTCCTTCTGATGTTGTGACACATCTGTCTTAACACTCCTTAGTCTTGCTTTCTGGATTGTCTTCTAAATCACACCCTGTAATTGTGAGTCTTCTATAAAGCTTTGCTCAGGACTCTCCCCTCTCCCTCTCCTCTTCCACTTGGTGACTTTATTAGCTCCCATGGGTTTGATTATTGTCTGACTTCCCTAATCTCTATATGTAGCCCTAATCTCTCTCCTAAACTCCATTCTGACATCACAATGCAGAACATTTTGAACTGGATGGTCTGTAGACACCTCAAATGCTGTATGTACAAAACAAAATTCATTACCTTTCCCCCCAAGCTCACTCCTCTTACTGACTTCCTTATTTTTGCTGAAGGCACCATCCTTCCCCTTACCCAGGTTCTCAATATTGGTCTTATTCATGATTCCTAATTTTTCTTTACTCCACATGTCCAATGAGTTGTTATTTCTGTCTACAATATGCTGTGTTTATCCATTTCTTTTTATGCCCATAGCCATCGCAGTTGAGACTCTCAACGCCAGTCATCTGGAGAACTGCAATAGCGTACTAATTGGTCTCCCTGCCTAAATCTCTCCTCTGTCCAGTCCATCTTTCACAGAGCTGTCAACTACAGCAGCTTCTTATTGATTCTTTGATCAAATATGATTTCATCTTTATCTCATCCATTTTTGTGTAATATTTACAATGTAGATATTTATAACTACGGATATTTATAATACATATTTAAATGTACATATGTTGGTCCCTCCCATCCCACCCCCAAAAAGGTGAAATAAAATTTATTATAAGTCATATGAGTAAATTTTCTCATTGCTGTATAATTAGAATGTGTAGCCTTGTAATATTTTAAAAATGATTACAATAACAATTACGTTACCTTTATTAAGTAGCAAATGATGATTGGGACTTATTTGGATAGGATAGGGTTTTGATTCCACTTCTGGTCCTAAAGAATTTATGACTTATCAGACCAGAAAACTATTTATGTGAAATTATTACATGGTCAGTTTATTTGAGCAGATATTAAACTTATATTCAGTAGAGGGCACTGTAGTAGGGTGGTAGAGGTGATGCTAGTAATTAAATAAGAAACTAAGGTTTGGTATAATGATGACAGGGTTTAAGGATATTGTCAGAAAATCATTGGTGATCACTTCTGTCTGACCATAGGTGGGTGATGGAAAGAGAAACAAGATTACCTGCCTATTTGCTTTTGAATGGGAAACATGAATTAATGGAGGAATAAGCATCTTTTTATGTACTCCTTTCCCCTCTATACAAACTTTCTTAAAAATCACCTCCATGCCCAACTATTAGCAGTATCCCTCTTACTCCTTTGCTTATTATAAGAGGTTGTTAGTGCTTCAGTGGGATTTGACAAGTTATAGAATAAGTTGAAATGAAAAAAAAGAGAAAAATGTATTGAGTTTAAACCACAGCTCCTTGGGAACCTTTTACACATATATGCTTTATTTTCAGATCCCCCTCTTCTTTTGACTCTCATCCCCATTCACCAGGCACATACAAAGATCTCAAAGGAGCAAGCAAAGGCTGTGAAATAGGCAACTGGCTTTGCATAATCTTTGGTCTCCTTAAACTCTGATACTTTATGAAGTAAAAGACATGTTTATTTAGACTCCTGCTAAAGTGAACTTTTCATGCTGTCTGTCTTCCTTTCCCTTAGGGTGACTGTGTTGTCACCGTGCTGCTTGCCGAAGAGGATAAAGTCGAAGAAGATGTAGTTTTTTACTTGGTGTTTTCTGGCTCCACTCTTCACCACTATACAAGCACCAGGAAAGTGAATCCTGATACCTTGGAGACAATTGCTCCTGGTGAGTATTTTAAAAGGAATCTTTAAAGGAAATCTTGCCAGTAACAGGTATTTGAAAGTAAATGACTTGGACCACTTTTATTTTATCCTCTGGAATACAGGAATGGGGAGAGTGAATCAAGGAATACTATTAGATTTTGCTTTTTAAAAAAAAAACATAGCTAATTTTAGTAATTCCTGGTGGAATAATAGTTCAATGACAATACAGCTATTTCACTTGTAACTTTTAGAAGGCTAACCTAACGAGTGACTATTTGCTATTTAAAGGATTTCAAAAGCAGCAAATAAAATAGGGACCTTTGCCAAAAGTTATCTAAGTAATATTAGTATAATGGGTGGGCTCAGAAAAGTGTTAGCCATTATTGGAACTTGGGAATGAACTTCTTCCTATGATTGAAATTTCAGCTCAAAATTGTCTGAGTGCCATGATAACGCAAAAAAGTTTACTAAATGATGAATTATTTTCCTTTAGGGGAAGTTTCAATTTGATGTGTTATTCCCCTTTTTCATGTTGTCCCTTTCCTGTGATGGTGATGTCTACCTACTAGTCTGGGTGGGAGTAAACTCTTCATTCGTTTGAGTGGGAGCTAAGACCAGTTTCTGCTTTTGTACTTATTGATGGGAGAAAGTAAGAGTTGGATTGAGTAGCCTAAATAAGGTAGTCTTAAATATCTGAAAAATTTGTTATCTGTGAAAAGAGCAAAGCCAAAGTATGGAGAACTCTCAGAGCAGTTTTGTTTTTCATTCTTCTTGGCAAAAATGACTCCATGGAATATAAGAAGCAAGTAAAACCTAAAATTAGGGTGAATGTCTAGGAACTTTACCTAAAAATGAAGCTAGCAGTTCAGAATGGTTACTGATTACTTTTCAAAAGGTGATTACCTAAATTCCTTTGTAATTTAGGGCCCTGGTTACAGCCATTTTTCCCTTGACATATATATACCATACCATGCCATTTTATGACTTTGAACTCTGTTCTCAAAGAGGTGTAATGCAGTTATCAGCATTACTAAACATTTATTAAGTGTTAGTGATAGAGATATTTTACTGTACTTTATCCAGATTTAGTCATGGCTCTTCATAAAAAAAGTATGGGAGAAGAAACTGAATTGACCTCTGGATAAATTCTAGAATGAAGATTTACATTTTTCTGAATTTGTAAGCACAGAAGAAGAAAACAGAAACAAAGTGTCATTTTGAGGTGATTGAATTGGGGGTTTTGCTTGGTTGCCATGAAATGCTTTTTTTTTCGTTCAATTCACCTAACATTTATTAAGTACCTTCTCTGTGCTAGGCACTGTGTAAGGTACTAGGGGTACAAAGACAGAAACAAAATAGTGTCAGTCTATCAGGAGCTCACATTTTACTGTGAACATGCAAGCTATATATAGGTAAGTATAGTACAAGGAAAGTTGAGGAGGATGAGAAATTAGCAATTGGAGGGGGTAGTATGGATTTAGGGATCCTTCAGGGAGGGTAGTGGTGCTTGAGTGGAGTCTTGAAGACTCTGAGAGATGATGATGAGGGAGGAGAGTGCATTCTAGGAAATGGTTAACAGTAGTAATACTGCATGACACCTACCTGTTAAAGAGCAGACTTCAAACTCAGGCCCTTCTTACGTAGTTTGTATCAGAAGGAGCAAGAAGGTGGAAGTTATGGAATACTGAGGTGGGTTTCTTACTCCTGTTTTTTTTTTTGTTTGTTTTTATGTTATTTATTACATTGTCTGAAGTCCATCCTGCAAATGGTCTTTTTTTTCCCCTGAGAGAGTCTACTATATTGGAGATATCACATAGGTCTAGAATCACAGTTGTCTTTTCAGGCAGAAAGACTCAGTATCGTTCTCTCTTTGTAAAAATTAATTTATTTTGATTTATCAACAATCACTTCCATAAGCTTTTGAGTTTTTAATTTTTCTCCCCTTCCTTTCCCACCTTCCTCCCCAAGATGGTGTGTGATCTGATATAGGCTATACATATACATTCCTATTAAAAATATTTTCACATTACTGATGTTGTAAGTAAGTATTAGAACCAATAGGAGGAACCATCAGAAAGAGGAAACAAAACACAACAGAAGAAAAAAAATAGGAAATAGTACGCTTCAGTTTGCAAAGAATTGGAAATTGAGAGGATGCCCATCAATTGGGGAATGGCTGAACAAGTTGTGGTATGTGAATGTAATGAAATACTATTGTGCTATAAGAAATGATGAACAGGTAGACTTCAGAAAAACCTGGAAAGACTTGTGTAGTCTGATGGTGAGTGAAGTGAGCCGAACCAGGAGAACGTTGTACACAATAAAAGCCATGTTGTGCAGTGACACACAGTGGTCTTTCTTTTGAACAACTGTTGTATACAGTAGAGTTTTTATTAATGTTGAATACGCAAAATCGTCAGTATAGTAGAATAGCACAAAGTGTAGAGACAGAGGTTCCAAGAGTCAGGAGAGCTGAATTCTATTCCTGATTTCAGTATATTGACTGTATAACCTTAGACTAATCATTTAATTCTATGGGCCTTAATTTCTTCTTCTGTAAAATGAAAAAGGTGGACTAGATAATCTCAGAGGCCTCTTCTAGCCTTAAAATTCTTTAATTGTGCTATGGTCATTCCAGTTTAAGCTGATGTACATTAGATGAAAAAAAGATGTGTATAATTTGCTTGCCATTCTAATTGTTCTCTTTTGCAACCTCTCCTCTCTTCTCTCTGCCTACCTTCCTGTCTGTCTCTCTTTCACACACACACACACACACACACACACACAGTTATTAGTCCATCCATATTTTAAGAAATTAGTAAACTCAACACGTTCTTTTTGCCATTTGAGATGGAGATACATATTAGTATAAATTGAGAAAGGAATATTGAAGGAAGGATCTTTAGAAATGTTTAGAATCTCCCTATCTTAGAGTCTAAACTTTATGAAATTAATAGAAAATTTAAAAAAACCATTCTTCTTACATACATAAATATTTATAGTCTGATTTCCCTCTTCTATTTCTCTTAGTACTGACTGATTAGGTACTGGTCCTGCTTTGGTGACCACCATGATAAGGAACTGTAGATTTGGCAGGTTCAAACATACAGAAGGGGTTGAATTTGAAAAGTTTCTGTGTAAATCAGTCCTTTGAAATTCAGAAAACATTTTCACTTAGAAACATAGTTGTTAAGTGACAGGTTTCCAGGCTATTCTTTCCCCCCATTTCACGCCCCACCCCCCCCAAACAAAACAAAACAACAAAAGACCTTTTAAAACCATGATGTCACCGATTGAAACCTAATTTTCTCGCTTTGTTTTTTGCAGTATGGGTCATATGGAAATATGTTTTGCATGATTTCAAATGTATAACTGATACTACATTTCTTGTCTTCTCAGTGGATGGGGGAGGGGCTGGCAGATAGGCGAGAACTCAACTCAAAATTTTAAAAAAATGAATGTTAAAATAAACATATTTATTTTAAAAATGTAATGTCACTGAAATGATATACATTTGTCATGACTTGAGGAATGAATGAAACATTTATTAAGCATTTACTGTGTGCAAAACACCGTACTAAGCCAAGAATCCAAATAGAAAAGTCCTTGCTCTTAGGGGTCTTACATTCCAGTGAGGAGATAACACCTGGAAGATTTCAGCTCAAGTCAGATGGAAAAGTCCCATGGTCCTTAGAGTGCAGCAGCAAAGCTGTTAATGTATCTTCTTTAATGCCATTTCTACTGCTAAAATCATATCAATTTCTGGTTATGATTTGACCTACCTCGCACGTGCTGCCTCCTGCGTCTCCCCCATGGTGCCTTTACTGATTCATGTAATGAAACAAATACTTTTCTTGTTTTAAAATTAACACCCCTCAATGAGTTTGTTGCAAAGATTTTCACCATCCCCTCCCTTCTCACCAAGAAGATGGAGAGTGATTCCAGAAATATATTCCTGCTTCTCTTCTCTCCACCTTAATCACTTTTAAGCTTAGAGGAAGAGGAAAAGCTGCTACACCAGGGCGCATTTTGCATTCTCTTGGGAATAAAACAGATTTTTGACCTTCCTCCACTTTAATGTTGGCAGAGAATCTAGCTACACAGGGAGCATGGCCCCTCTCCCTCACCACCAGCCCCCTCACTATTGACAGCATGCAGCCAAATGGGAAACAAGTGGCAGGGGACACTCTTCCACGGCTTTGGCATGAACATGCCTATTTTGTGGTACGCTGGCTTTTTTAATCTAAAGGATATTTGTAAATGGGATGTTAATAAAAGTTAAATGACGGCTTCTCACATCCTTTAGGAAGAAAGGTGGTAAGTGATGGGCAGGTATGTAGGTAATGTGTATAGATACATTTTTTTTTTTATTTAAAGTTTGTCTTGGGCATCACTTCACCTTTTTGCACCCCTGATCTTCACTCATCTTCTAGCTTCCTATTTCTCTTTTCTTTGAAGACAGCTGTCTTCTGGCTGTCCAATGCCCCTTACTTCACCTTATTAATTGTTCCCATTTCTGAAATGCTCCACTATTAACTTATCCTCCTTTCTTCTACTCTCCTGATTCTTATGTATTCAAAACTCACATTCCCTTAGGGCTTAGTCTTAGAAAATCTCAGTGATTAAGCTACTTACATTAAGTTGTAAATAATGGATTGTAATGTTGTAGAAGTAGCACTTTATCTGGTGTTAGGGGGATTTGATTCCAATTCCCCCACTGGTACTACCTTTGGACCAGTCACTTAACTTCACTTTCTTCATCTGCAAAATAAAGGGTTGGACTACATGACCTCTAAAGTCCCATCTATTTCTAAATCCTATGAATCATTCAAAGGGTGGGTGTTTGTTAATGCAATATCTAAATATAGCCACAGGGTTGCTGTAAGTGGAGAGAAGGGGACATAGATAGGATATGTTGTGAAAGGCAGAAACAACAAATTTGGCAAGGGATTGGGTATGTGGGGTGAGAGAATAAGGAATCAAGGATAATAATATCCTTGGTTGTCAGCCTGAATAACTCAG